CCTTCTATATATTCTGGGTGCAACCTATGCTGATTTATCCAACTTTTATCCATCTGACTTCTTCTTACACTACAAATGTCACTGCCAAATCAACAAAGTTCAAAATTATCATTTCATTTTAATTATTCTTAACCTCAATTAAGTACCTTATAATGCATGCGACATGACACCATTCACCTCTAACTCTTGTCTAATAGGTTGGTTCATCCTACTTTCCTATTCAAGAATGCACAGTCTATATTGTAAAAAGTAGCTCATACCTCTCTATCCATCTCTAACGAAATTTCGGCAACATCTCCCCATGGTTCTCCAAGTACTGACATAGACTGGGTGTACTACTACACCTTGTCTAGTATGCACCCAAAGAACATGAGGAGCTACTACATGAAATCTCTATGAGATGGACTACATTTAAGCAGTAGAAATATTAATTACAACATAGACTTGTGCTTCTGAACTATCCAAACTGGACAATCCAAGAAGAGCTTCATCAAAGATGACTAGGTATCTCTAATGAAGATTCTTGGATGGGTCTACGGCTATTTATGCATGCATGAATAATTACTTGCTAAATTAACAACTATCATGATTTTTGCATCTCAATGGTGCAACCTGAATCAGAACTATCAAGCATACTAGAAGCATTTATAGCATGAAGCATATTAATGAAGAAACTAATAGTTTCTATAATGCTCTTGATAGATTATGACATAGAGCTTCATCAAGATGACTAGGTATCTCTAATGAAGATTCTACAAGAATAACCAAATTATCCTGATTGATCACAAAGTAAAAAATTTCATGATTGTAGTTGATAGCACATTACATGACTGTAGAGGTGTCCTATTTTTCTTACTACAATCATCTTCAATAGGACACCTCTAATGAGCTTATGTTAGCCAACCACCACAATAGAGGTGTCCTTTTTTATTTTTCAAGAATTTTTTCCTCAGTCTCCTTGTCTTTGATACCACTTCAACAACTGGTGTCACAGTTAAAAATGTTTTGCATCGTTTTATAAATCCATATTCTAACACCCTCCGCTTCGACAACTATGACAGTAGTGATAATCGAATGACAAACTAACAATTGTTCTAGGCAATTGAATACAAAAAACAACTCAGGGGAATTTATAAATGGGTTATTCTAGGACAGATTGATTCATGGCTAACTCAAATTACCGTATTCATCAGACCCAAAAAGCAAAAATAAAAATTACTCTATTCATCAATACTATTTTCAACACTTTCACATTCATTTCAAAATAAGACCACTCAGATTTAAACAGGAGAATCATCCAAAATAGGTCTTTCCATCTAAGTTACAATTATTAAAACTAAGTCATTGAAATGTAATAGTAACAAGTTATTTGTTTTATGTATCACATCATTTCTATGTTCAAAAACAACATTAAAGACAACTTTCAGAAACAGAGATCAACTACTTGAGTAAGTAATCAAACACATCATCAATTAGTTCTCTCAAACAGAGACAGAGTAAGAAAGAAGAATAAAATTACCAATAACTGTTCAGAAGAGAAGTCATCGAGTAAGCAATGAAACACAACATCCAATTCAAGATAGGGATCAAGTGAATATTAACTAGTTTCCCCCGTCCAAACAAATTGCAATGCTATCATAAATAATCTAAAGAACTAGAATAGCAAGATCATCACGAATTATATCAAGTAGTTTTTTTTTAAACTAAAGCATGAAAAAAATTCAAAGTTAATCAGCAGATTTGACAATGAAATTATATAAAGTAGTTTTTTTTTTAAACTAAAGCATGAAAAAATTTCAAAGTTAATCAGCAGATTTGACAATGAGAAAGTAGAGAATGAAAAATGTACCTGAGATAAGAGCAAGAGAGATCGATCTGGTTCAAGAATGATATCAATTTTGCATCTGCGATTTGATGAAGAACATATTGAGTTCAAGTTTGAGTTCGATGAAGAACAGCTAGAGCAAAGCCCTCGAGCGACAAAGATCAATGAAGAACAACTAGATAGTTCGATTACGAGCAACAAAGATCAATTAAGTGCAAACCATGGTGTGTGAGAGTGAGAAACTAATCAAATGCAAAATCTGCAATCCAGCGAGCGAGCGAGAGTGTGTGTGTGTGTGTGTTTGAAATTGAGCGAAAAAGAGTGAGTTTGTTTGAGAATGAAAGTGAAAGTGATAGTGATAGCTTCAAATCTAGGGTTTTGGAAGAGAGGGAGACTAAGTTGTGGAAGAGACTAAGAAAGAGAGAGACTGAGTTGAAAGAGACAGAGGTTTGGATGGTCAATAAATTGACCCAATATGACGCCGTTTAACTGAGGTCAGAGACAACATTTTTCAAAACGTTGTGTTTTATTAATTTATAATGGCATTTTCATAAACGCCATAAAAGAACCGTTGCAATACCCCATTTTTCCTGTAGTGAGTTAAGCAAGCGTGGCCCACCATTATACTGGGTTGTTCCATCTCACGTGATATTAGCACACTGTAATGACTCAATTATATATAAATATATAGTCAGTGCATAATTTAATTGAGCAAATTTTCAAATTTGATTGTTGTGTAAATTCTGTGCGAAAATAGTTCGGCTTTGTATTTTTTAAAAACAGTTCCCGATCTCAGAAAATTATGAAATGTTTATATGTTGTTCTCATATGAGTCTAGCACGTTGGATAAATTATTTCAGAATTAAATGATGAGTATTTATTTTATGAAAATTCACGGACTGATTGGTGTTCAGTTTAATTTATAGCAGAATTTGAAATTGAGTTTTGGGTGTTTGGACCAAGATTTGAGATAAATTTGTTGGGTCTATTTTGGTGTATAATTGGGTGATGTTAACTTATGGGTGAGATCCATGATTTATATTTAATTTAATTTGAGTTTATTTAGTGACTCATGTTTAACTGTTTGGTCCTTTTTAATTATGTGATTGGTAGTAACCACCTTGGAAGTTGTTATTATTTATTATATAGGGGTTATAACAAATATTTGATAGTTGATTTTATGGTGTGTACCATATGGTGAAAAATTATATATATTATAAAGAATGAAAATGTGTATATTTCATAGTGAGCAAAATATTATATTTTGTGGTGTAAAAATGTTATATTTTGTGGTAAGAAAAATTATATCATTTCATAATTTATATTATAAAATTTTGAGGTATTATTACCATATATTCTGTATTAATTTGTATGATATTAAGTTAGGTGATCATCCATGGGGAAGCGAACCCACACGGGTTGTCTCCCACACCTCACTCCCTTTCTCTTCTTTCATTCAAATTCTTTTATGTAAATCATAAAGCATTATAAATTAACGCAGCGGATAAAAATAATTCGGATCATACCTTAATGACACAACCTCGTGGGTAAATCATGTGTTTCCAAAATCTGATTAGTCAACGAACCCAGCAGTGGAGTGATACTACAAAATGAGTATCACCCACACAAGTTACAGTGCAAAATGGCTTGACGTTGTTTTCTAGGAGAGAGTTAGAGAGAGAGTCTGGAAAAAAGGTTGTGGGTAAAAATCACAGAACGTATATCTGATATACGTATATCTTTAGATTAACCATATAATCTGATATATAACCAATATCTATCTATCCATCTATCCATATCTATTGATATGATAGATATAGATATCCTGAATGGTTATCCAAATAAGTTTGAATTCAAATTCAAACTTACATGGATAAGGTTCAAAAGGTTCTAAGGGTCATGCCACATGGGCGCCCAATTTCTAACATCTCCCACTCAGACATGAGTTGGCATGACACTGCCACATCTCTATCTCAATCTCCTCAAAAAATAAACAATCTCATACTAGCCACTACACCGTGCGACTGCTGAGAACACTTGCATGTGGGAGCTCTATACTAGAAACTCAAAATGAGCCAGCATAGAGACATCAACCCAAAAAGAACAGAAATAGTGTCTCATATACCCCAGACACATCTAATTACACCGGTCCAAAAAACATCTCTAATCCCTCAAAAGAGCATGTTTGACCCTCTCAATTCTTGCAATATATTCACACTCAATCCACTTCTCATACAGAGCGATGTGAGTTGCCGGCAGTGAATATACAACAGTGATGTAATACTAGATGATCTTCCATTTGCCCTCATGCCATTTAGTTTAGTATTGACCGCTTTCCCAGTGATGTCCCTTAAGGCCGAATCATACATGACCGCAGGCAACATACCAAAGTAGCAGAACATCAACCCCTTACCTTATGACATAGTCAAAAGTCACAAAAGGGTGCATAAATGAAAGTCATATCAATAATGACACGTAAGACTCACACGGTGAGGAAGCAGGGATCCATTCTCTCACCTCATTACTCGATCGCCAAGCACATATAGTATGAATACATGTTACGGTGGAGTAACTCTTCCATAAAGAGTGACGTCATACTCGATACACCGTACAGATATTAGTCTAGTCGCTTAAAATTTTGAATGGACAACTAAACATCAATAATATCAAAAATTTGACCTTTCATGAAAAGAACTAATTTCCAAGAAGTTTGAAAAAGGAAAGAAGATCAAATTACAGTAAGAACTACACAGCAGATTCAAATCCAGCAACCAGAAACAGAGTAGTTGAGAACTACCTGATGATCTCCACATGTTCAACTTCACCACAGTAAGCAAAGAACTCATAAACAACCTTCTCCGTCGCTCTAGGAGATAGGTTTGTTACTTCTGCAGTATAACCACCAGGGTACATTTTTTGAAGGTCCAAACAAGAAAAACTTGCCTAACTAAGTGAATCTATCTGAAGCAAAAAAAAGTAAAAATAGAAAATAGAAAGTCAACAACTTATGCATAGAAAGGTATTATAATCATTTAAAATCATCTTTCACAATTCAAAAGATATTATTTCCTGACCAAAAAAGGTCATTATTTGGAAGAAACAAAAGAGATAAAAAAATATATCAGAAAGAGATAACAATCATCATCTTTGTGCAAGCCTTACACATCTCATGATCCTAAGGTTTCATATCCCCAAGTGGTCCCACTTTAACATTATCCCATTTCAAAGACATTCTGCAATGATCAATTCAAAATAATTGGACATAACTTATCATGTATCTCCCACCATTCAGCATAATAATTTTTTTCTCAATTATTTTATGTTTCCTTAGCAAAGGTAGAAAATTGGCTCACCAACTACATGACACCAATCTCCCATGTAGTGAACTGGGGTACAACGGCCATGCCCATTCTTGGTGCAATTTATTGATGCTTCTTATAGTTTTTTTTATTTTAGAAATTTGTGTCAGAGTATGTTTGTTACAGCATCTGGTTATAGTTTATGTGACAAAAAAAGCTATAAAAAAAATTGTTTATTGGGAAGTTGGGACATGGGTATTTTTAGCTTAATTTTTTTAATAATAACTTTCAACTCGTAAAAAGCTTCACAAAACATGCCCAACACTAAATACTGTTATATTTAGCTCCAATGTGGCACTCAATGCTGTTGCAAATTGCTGCCTAATGCAAAATTTTCATTATAAAAAGTTAACTTATACTTTAAGGGACCAATGGAAGTCAAACAATGCAGCTTCTACTAAAGTGCACCAAATGGAGTAACCCACGATTCATCTTTTCTAAAATGACTATTTTCTCCTTTGGACGAAAACAGAGCCTTTTTTAGATTTTCCCTAGGGATCTTTATACAACTTATAATAATGCCTTAATCAAGTTTGACAAATTGGGTTCCTCCATTAAATTTGTCACAACACAATTATTTTCCAGTAAAAAAATTCCAAATAAAAGCAAACTGAATTTCACAAGTACAAACACTATGATTCCCAAAAGTTATCAAACATGATTTATGAATGCGAATAAATATGAAAATATAATTCATGGTCTGCTGTGTTTGGATCTTGAATTCACGCAGAAATTTGTACAGGAAACAAGAAAAGCAATGGAAAAAGTTTTATATATATATATATATTTCCCTCCACAAATTCATCATCCAAACAAAGTTCAGCCAAACATATTTGATTATCAGAAATAGAAAAGGGTATCTAAAATTGATGTTATATTCCAGAAGAAACATATCGATATTTATACATGAACAAGATTGTAACAATAAAAGAGAAAGTGACAAAAGTTGTGTACAGTCCTAAATATATTGGTGCATAAAGAAAGAAATCTGAAAATTCAATATCTGCAGTTTCGAAGAAACGATTTTGGAAGAAAAAGATTGAAATAGAAATATAAATAGAAACAGTTCTTGATAATGGATTCAGTTTGCAACAAACTGTGTCAATAAGTTTCAATCACCATAGATTTCTAACCCCTGAAAAGCTAATTGAAAACAAGAAAGTGAAAAGGCCCCAATTACA